GTGATTTGTCCATAGTAGCCGATGTCTTTTGCATCCATCGAAAAGTGCCATTTAGAAGAAACCCTGAGGTGTGAGTTTATTGGCCAGGGAATGATCTCCACCGTTCCTTCTTCCCCATCAAACAGCAGATGGCTGCAGTTGTTCTTATAGATCACCACTTTCTGCGCCCCAAGAATCTTGTACATCTCCACGCTCTGGATGAACTGCAAGACGTTGTTGTAGTTCCCGAACATGGTCGAGATGCACACGGTGAAGTCAACAGAAAAGCCCTCAGCCTTGCGGTTCTTGATTTCAAACACGGGCAGCTGCTCGACATTTCCATGCGGAGACTGATGGATGGATACGTGTGTCGGATCGCAGGTTTGGGGTTCCAAACAAACTATGTCTGTTGCACCGTACGGGAATCCAAACCTGTCTGAGTGAACGTCAATTCTTGCTTTGGATACGTATACCTGCCCGTCGGGCTGGCAGCAGAACCAGCAGTAGAGCTGCTTCACGTCTTCATGGTGAACAATCCCAATCACACGGGTGACTTTGCTTTCTCTGTCGTCAAAGTAGGGGGATATAATAAAAGTCCGGTTGTCTTCTAATGGTGTTATTACATTCTGAGCAGGTTTGCCCCTGCAAAGCTGACCTGCTGGGCTGGCAGTTGTTGCAGGGGGGAAGATTTTTCTAGTTATGCTGTTCTGTAGCCGAGGATCTTTCCAGGAGCAGATTAAAACGCTTGCAAAAATAAAAACAAATGTAACAACAGCACAAATATGTTTCTTTCCACAGTGTATCATTGCTGAATGTCACGATCTGGAGTTTAACAGGCCTTTGCACTCAGTCTCGTATTGACTTCCTCTAAAAGAAAGCAAACACATAAAAAAGCACACTTTCAGTGATTTGCCAAGAAGTAATGTTTTGCATCCAACTGAATTTCTTAGTTACTGTTTTGACACTTCAAACCTGAGTATGAGGACCTCACTTTCCATGTGGGTTTGGAATAAATGCAGAGATGCTCCTACACCCCCCTGTCCCGAACTTCATGATGTTTTACTCTACAGCAGGGCCCAGTGCAACAGTTCCAGCTGTTGTGGTTTACAGCAACAAGAACGTAAGGAGGCCTAGGAGGGGTCTCACATTAAGGAAACCCCACATTCTTTCTCTTTCAGTATTCTGAGAAACCTGTAAAACTATAGTTACCTTTCTTCTTCCTAAAAAAGATGCTGTGAATGCAAAATCAAACTGCACAATTTTGTATTGGGTAGGAGTCATCCTGTCACAGCCTCCCAGTGTCCTGACTCTCAAGTCACAAAGAGAATGTCTTCAGAGCCTCGTGCGATGCTGTGCTACTCAATATCATGTAGGAAAAGAGGTTTGAGAAGAATGACCTGAGGCCACCTTAAATGTTACTGCTTTGGCCACTGAAGATGCCACGTCTCCGAACACAGCTCTACATGGGTGGTTGGCCTCAGCAGGACGTGGTGCGAATACTGCAACCCTGCCCTGGGACCACAAGCACTACTGAACTTTTAAACTTTGCCCTGGAACCGTCAAGTTCTCCAAGACGTTACCAAATCAAACTACCACGCGCAGGTTGTCCGTACACAACCCCAGCTCAGTATTTACATGTGTTTAAACCATCAGGCAGATGAAAGGCAAATCAAAACCGAATTAAACCAAACCTTGCTTTATTCCATGAGCGGCCATGGGAGCGTGATGTAACGAGACACATCACAACAACCCACCAGAACAATGAACCACTGTCAGTACCACTTGTAGGTGTCCTGACCTCTCTGGTATACCCCCAGCCACAGCTGAGTCACAACCGCGTTCTCATTACGCACAAAATTGCCACTTCAGTTACAGCTCTGTTCGACTTCAGGGTACTAGGTTTGGAGAACATGATGAAAGCACTGCTGCCTGGTGTATCTGCAAATCCAAGATGCTGCTCAACTGTTCTTCTTCATTTTTTGGCCTCAAAAAAATGAAAGTTGTTCTTTTGAAAGATGCATAATGACCCATTCTCTAAGGTTAAAGCCTTGTGTTGCTCTGCATGCTGTCATGCGAGCTGTACATCCACCCCTTTCAGCAAGTATTGGGATTCATCAATTTTAACATTACACTGCATGTGCAGAGCAGTTTTTCTATGGTCACAAAGTTTATTTCGTTCTGAAGATGTCTCCTCATCTGCTTTAAATACTTCTAATATTGCCTCCTCAATTAACTAATAAAATTCAAATACAGTTTGGCATTCACTGACCAGTAGCTCAGCAGGACCTTGCAAGTGATATTTGCATAGAAAAAAATGACAGTATGTAGAAAAGTGGGGCTGCACCATCAGTTGTCAGCTTGCACCCAAGTTCTTCAAACACTGATATTCCTATTTTTGGAACAGGAAACCATTGGAAACCATTTACATTGAATAACATGCTGTCTATTGGAAAACTAAGAGGAATAATATTTTAAAGTGAGTTTTCTTTTTTTTTTTTTTTTTAATAAGAGTATTGGGAAGTGAGATAGAAAAATGCTTACAGAAAATTTCAGGGGAAAGAAAAAAAACCCACAAAAGAACAAGAGGCCAATGACGACATGGAAAAACTGTCAGTTCGAGTCAGTTCTAGGTGCTTGGGTTTTATCCACAACTGCTTTTCTTTCCCCGCTGTGCAGGTGGGGTTTAGCTGCCCACGTTGTCAGGGAAGACACCAACAGCATTCTCTGCAGAGGAAGGAGCAGGTCTGAGATCGAGGGGCATGTACAAGGACAGAGGACAGGAAATTCAAGGAAACTTAAAAGCAGTTTATGGGTCCAATCTTCCCATCCAAGAGAGCAACGAAGTGACTGAGGAAGGTACAGAAAATCAGAGAATCCTGATACAAACCTCTCTGGGGAGGATGACTTACTGCCTCAGAGAAGGGACAAATGTAGTCAAGGCAAGATGAAATGAAACACTAATAAACTTCCTCATCACTGACGTCTGTCACCTTCAGTTACAGAAATACAGGGCCCAGGGTGGGTTTTTTGATACAGATGCTAAGTGCAAAAATCATTACGCTGTTCCGGTGCAGTATGTTTCCAACTCGGTCCTACACCGGGCAGCAATACACCTCCAAGTTTCCTGTTTGATTAGGCTTGGGAAATGTACATGAAAGTTACATTTTTAAGATTGAAGAGATATTAGAAAACTAATAGTCTCTTCCTGCAATAAAGACCTAATGTTAAAATCCCCTCAGGGCAAGTAATCCCGCTGACCCCCTGTTCCTTCTGGAACACCACTCCTTTGCAGCCAGTGTAAAAAGAGCAATTCCTGTGTATCACCCTGCACAAAAGTCTCCATCTTAGTTTTACACACGAGTTACACGAAGCGGGAAGCTCGCTCACATGTTCTCTTGCATCTCACGCCTGCTACGCGAAGCAACGCGCTGTTCATTTTCAACTACGCAGTAGCTTTAACATGGCAAAAGCATTATTAACCGCTTGATCCAGAAAAACTGCAAGCTAGCATTCTTCTTAGAAACCAGAGGCCCCTCAGCACGAACAGTGGCTGTGAGTAAAACTTTACACATGGACAATAAAGAAACAAGTCCGTCCTTTCGACATGAAGAACTCTATAAAATCTAGTGAGACATGTAGACATCTGTTCAAATGCCCTACTGTTTCCTCCTCGAAGACCTGTTCAGTGTCTGGGGACCTCCAGTGGTTGCTAACCTCGTCCCATTTCTGTCCACCTTGACCAGCTCAAATGGATGTTAGTTAACACACAAATTTTCCATGGCAGCAGTTCCTAAACATGGAACATGATTTTGGGTTCAAGCTTGTGCCACCTCTTTTGGAACCCGGAGGCTGCAACCGTTACCTGGTGCCCACCACAGCAGGTGACTGAAAACGCGGGTTCTCTTTCTCTGGCTGGGATGGGTCATTAAAAAACACAGCACATCGACCGCTGACGGCGCAGTAATTTCTGACCAGAACTGGGCAGCGTCCTCCTGAAAAAGGATTATGCAGGTGGCATTAAGAGATAAGGCACTGCTTTGTACTGCCCTTTGCCCAGCTGAATGTATGTTGGCAGCCTCGTGTCGTGCAAGAGGGCATTCCAGCCTCGAGCACACGATCACCGTTTCACCCTGTCTGGGCTCACTACCATCTCAGTCACTGAAGAAAATGTTTTGTGTGCTCCGAAACCGAAAAATGTCCCTCCTCTTTAAAAGAGAGGCTTAAGGTACATCAGCAGCTCTGGACCTTCTCTGCTGGGCTAGGTCAGTACCACCTGCAGAACAGAGAACACACCAGAAGACGCCGTTTCACCACAAAGTACGTTCTATCAGCAGTTCAAGGAACTTCCCCATGAAAACGGCGAACGTCTTGCGTTTACAACTGTTTTAGTGAAGGTTTCTAAACCACTGTCACCCATTTTCCCTGGAAGAGTTAGCACCTCAGTGCTTTTCAGTCGTTACACAGAAAGAACGTAATGGAGTAAACAACGGAGCCCATGTTTGCTACGTGCAGTCTTGACGCTTCCCCAGGATGCACACGATCGCACCCTCCCGAACAGAAAGCAGATTAAACAACAGCGTAGCTACTCACAGTTCCAAGTCTCTTTGTCTAGCACTTCATGCCTTCCCGTGCCCCAACTCAGCCTCACGCTGCCACCGAAATGAGAGACCTTGCAACCTTGCTCGTTCTCCAACATCTGCTTCCTCTACAATTATACCAGCACTTTTGACCGTCTGTGGGAAATCCCGTGACTCGCTGAGCTTCCTGTACGGCAAATCAGTTTGCTTTCTGTTCTGTCATATTCTCAGATAAACAACTTGGACTTAATTGAACTATACACTCTTCAGTTGATGTTTGCACCACCTCCAGCCCCTCAACAGTCCTGTTTGTTAACTGGAAGAATGACAGATGGTCATTTTCCTCTGTTTAAGGTGTCTGCGTGCATGTTCTTGAGATGTATCCAGATCGGGATTTAAACACTTTCCATTAGATCAACGGTAACCTAATGTGCTTCAACATTCTGATCTTAAACAGCCCATTGTGTTTTTCAGAGGAGCTTTTGGGTAAGCTCAGCCCTCGGTTAAGATTATCTCTGTCACTTTATAATGACAAAATCAACAAGGGGTTGTGTGCACAGTTGTGAGACCAAAAACCGAAACTCAGCGCTTAATCACCTCAACCTTTACTCTGCCCCAGCAGGTGCCTGACATGGAAGGTGGCTACAACCTGAGCCAACACCTGATGCCGGTGGGGCTGGATGAACAGCGAGCGCAAACACCAGCTGGAGTGGGAGGAGTACGCTGGGTGGGGAGGCATGGACAGAACAGTTTCTCTTTGGGGGGCAGACTGGATTTGGCTGCTTGATAAGCTATTTAGAAAAACCCTCCGGTTCTCTCAACAGGAGTGCGGTGCTTGCGATTTTTATTTTAAATAACTTTCTATGGAAAGGGACATGTTCAGCTCTCACAGAGGGGAAAAGGGAAGTTGCAGAGGTGGCTTGATTATGCGTGAACTTTTTATACTGTGAAGGGGAAATTCAAGTTATAACACCTCAGCAATGGTAACTGGAGACTAAGGAATGATCTGCACGGAGGGCGAGAAAGGCTGACTGCTGCAAGGGTTAAGCTGTCTGGGAGCAGGAACACCAGGACAGAATGACTCCATGTAAGGGAGAAACTCTCCCTCGCTGATAAGATAAGCAACGCCGCAGTAACTGTCACGCAACGGCCGACCGAGCGTGTAGGAACGCTTTGGGGTGCCCTTCGGGGCGCTGGGGAGTGGGCTCACTGCTGGGTGGGACGCCCAC